GGAGATCAGTTGTAATAAGGCGTGTCTCTGTTTCTCCTGTGGTTGCCAGGTCTGAGATACTCCTTTGTGACTTTTGAACACTGCTTTGATTTTAAAGGGACATCAGAGAACCCTTTAGGTGGAAAAACACCTTTACAATCACTGAATCAATAGAAACAAGACAGAACGTTTGTATCCCCTTCTTAAGGACATCTTACTGGGAGACAGACATACTAAATAGGGCATTTAAAAGTACCCAGCACTGTTGTTTTGTTTTATGAACAGCATGTGAGTTTCACAGAACTAAACCAGTGCTTAAGTATTTCTGAAAGGTCCTTTCCTGGTCTTTAGATTGCAACTCTTCATTCTCATGCTACTCTGTATTTAGGTTTACTTCTTGTATTACTAATTTTGCCTAGTGCTTCTTTTTGGGACAGTAAATGTAGCCTTGTCCTGGTTTCCTGGTGTTCATTCACGGCACATGCAGTGTTACTTGGGTTAACAAGTTAGAAGAAAAAGTTAGATTTGAATTGTCTGTTTTCTATCATATTTTAAAAAGTTACAAAAACAATTTCCTCCACACGCGGTGCTCTAAGTTCCCTTCCTCCGTGTTGTTTTTGGACCTGCAGTATTTTGAATATGACCTCTGGAAAAAAAAAGTAGTATTTTTAAAGCCTCCTACTGGAATGCATTTGATTTGAGTTATTCAAAGCAAATGTGGAGGACTAAGAGACCTATGAAAACGATCTATGATGGGAAAGCAGCGTTGTTTGCTTACCTCCCCAGGACACGTTCTGTTCTGTGTGCACGTGTGGGGCTTTCTGGGAATTCTCTGAGAACTATGTGCATCCACCAGCAGAATTTCGTACCCTTATATCCAGAAATATGTTTGGGCTCAGTGCAATGTCACAATATGCTAGTTGTAAGTTTCTGGTAGGAGCCAGACCTTTAGCCAGGAGTGTTGACATGAAGAGGCCTGATGACCTCCTCTGTGAGGTCCCTACTCAAAGGATTATGCATCCCCTTCTGGACAGGAACAGCTGTAATAGTGCCGTGCCTGCAGTTCAGCCTGAGGGTGCAGGATGGGCTCTGTTCGTGCAGCAAGGCTTGTAAACCTTCATTGCCATAGGGGTAGCTTACCTCCCCTGATTTCACAGGAGCACTGCCAAATCATGTCAGATGATAACCCAATCCACATACTATTATAGATTTATAGATTCATTTCCTATTGGTTTAATGGACAATTTAACTTTTTTTTTTTTTTTGAGGTACAACTGGCTTACTAAATGTAGCAGATGGGGCTTCTTTAAGTGCTTCTTTACCCTCTCTGAGCATCATAGCATGGGAAGAGCCTTTAGGTGCTTAGGAATTTTTTTCCCTCCTGTTAACTATTCCCACATGTGCAAACATAGTCCTAAAGTTATCACATTGCACGTAATTGCTGTAGGAAGGATGATTATTTCAAGTAAGAGAATACGAAGCAAGATCAGATGAATTCCTCAAGCAGCACTGAGCCTAAGCTCTTGTTGTGTGTATCTATTACTTCAAAAATAAAGGCAAGACTCCACTCCCTTTACTATGTACAGATGATCCACAGAATTGTTTTGAAATTCCAATTTTCTTAAAATAATCACGGAATCACCTGCAAATAACTTCTCTACCAACTAGCAAAGAATGATGGGTATAAGGTCAGCCGAAAGTGTCTGAAGCAAAGTGTCTTAAACATAGTGGTTCTAGTGAAAACCCTTTCTGGACACAGTTGTAAATTGCAACAGCCATGTGAGAGAGGATGAGAGGAGCAAGGGCTGATAAGATCTATGTAAAATCGGTGTTGTTGCTATTGCTGATGAAATTTCAAAGGAAAGAGGCTTAAGAACCAGTGAGCCCATGAATATAAGCAATACAAAAATAGTAATTTTAACTCATTGGTGCTTTTGCAATGCAGGTAGTGAAATGGCTTCTTGTGCATACTCATGGAGTCTGGAGATTCTTATTTAGCATGTGGGAAGAAACAAAAGGGTGAAAAACTACTAAGTCCTGAGCAGTGCACTTGATACTTATCCACTGTAGAAAACTATTTGTATAAAACAGTCTGAAAACAATTTGCTGCCAACCAGCATTTCAAACTTCTCTGTATAGACCAAAGGCAGTCATCTGGAGCTCTGACTAGTGGTAAACCTGGATGAAACTTCACCTCAGACATCCTGAAGAATGCATCTTTGGTTATTCTTATGTTGATATATACAGTGCCAACAAGGTGATTAGGATTAAAAACTCAAAAAAGCTACTCTCTGGTCACTCAGTCTTTATATAAAATCAACCTCTTTTTTCTGAGATACTTCTTGGCTCATGATGGCGACACCAACCACGTGAAGATAGTTACGTTAAGTGGCGTACGATCTCATTTGTCTCCAGTGGTGTTATGCTCTGATTCAATCTTTTAGTGAGTTATAGGCTTTTGTGGTCCGGGTGTTGATGAAATCTGCCTTCTTAAAGTCAGCCTTTGGAATGAAAGAAACAGAATAATCAATTAATTTCAATGCTGACTCTGCAAGGAAAGGGTTGATTCAGCTGCCTAAAAGCTACATATGGAGTCTAGGCAGAGTCCCCTAGAGTCACAGAGACAGAACAGGAATCTCCCAGGAGTGCTCCATGTAGTGCTCAAGATAGGTGAGATGAATGACTGGAGTTGCTTAACTCTCTCCACTGACTATATCAGGAACCTATTCTACTAGTTCAGCTCTACAGACTCCTTAGAAGGTGACTAATGCCTGCTGAGATTAACCCTATCAGAACAATGATGACTCAGGATTTTATCCATCTCATTTGATCAAGTGATTTCTGTTGCTTACTAGACTGACTTTTCAAAAATGTCTAGGCATTAGGTGGTCTGCAGATTTCAGTGCCATACCCAGTGTCTCTAGGGGGCCTGATCTGCACAGGAACAGCAAGCTCTCAGGCTTTTTTGGAAATTCAGATCTGATAAATATGTCTTAGAGGCATACCAAAACTACCACTGACTTCAGAACATCCATGCCACTGGGGATGTAGCTATACAGTAAAGTCAGGAAGGTAGTTGCCAAAAAATGAGAGACAACAGGACCTAGTTAAGAGTTTATATGGGTACAGTACCCTAATTCTTGAACACAGTTTCTGGTTTGCTGAGTGTGATGCAACCCTGTTAAAGGATACTATGCTAAGTAACTTTTTTTGAGCAAATTTCAACAAAAATATCTACTGAAAGAAAGACCTGATTTGTAAATGCTAAGGGCTAGATTGAGAGCATGGAACAGTTTTAGGTTATAGGGAATTTTAGGTGACAAATTCTAAACAGCAAACAAATGAGGAATGAAAACAGTTTGAAATGAAGGGTGAAGGTACGTAGGCTGAAGTTAACTCAGCTGTGTGCTGACAAAGCAGCCACAGAGCTTCAGAAGAAAAGAAACAAACTGGTTTGTTGTCTGACTCATGCTGGTCAATTTTGTTTGATTTTGCCTATATTTGATTTTGATTATGACAGTAAATATTTGCCAACGCTTTTCCCATGCCCTAGCTTTTTGTCTGACTACAACTAACACTTGGGCTACCAGGCCATGCAAACAACAAGGAGAACAAAACTTCTCTGGTTTTAAAGCAGGAAGTTGTCTTGCCCTATCTTTGCTTTGCTGGCACCTTAGATCCTCTGTGTCAGGTTGGTTCAGTCAGTGGTGGATGGTCACCTACTTCTCACCATCTGACACTTCTGGCAGGCAGCAGCAACACTTTTCATAAATTTACCAGTGGATATAAAAACACAGGAGAGAATATGAACATAGATGAGTGAAAATTAAGGCCATTCATTACTTATGCAGGATTATGTACAAGTAATAGGAAAACCAAATTCAGAGACCACTTGAAATCCTATCATAGGTTGATTCTTAAATGTGTAGAAGTGCTAAGGGCCCCAGAGGACAATGAGAGGGTTCTAGGTGCAAAAGGACAGATAACATGACTTTATTCTAACCCAGATCTTACCTTTTTGTAAGTGCTGTGAAGATCAGTATGTGACCACAGGGAGTAGAGGAGGACTGAAGCAGCCCTACTAGCTTTGCTGAACATGTTACTGCAATTTTGCAAAAAGAATGACAAAACATATAAAAATATTTAAATTCCCATGTCATAATCACAGTGCATGTACAGACTTCAGCAAACATAACCTTGGAGCATTTGTTCTGTCTCTCTTAACTCCTAAATGCTGGTTTACTACTCTAGGTATTCTAGTGTGTTTCATGCTGTCCTGATTACTGAAAGACATGAAACATGCCTCCCTGCTCAGGCATTCTTCAAAACTAGGGAGAAATCAAGTACTTTGTAGCCTACATCTCAGAGCAGCTACTATACTATTCATTTTCAGCTGAGGAAAATACACCTCAGCAAAAGAAGCATTTGAAAGAATCTTTCCAGTAGTTAAAATCTCTAGTTAGTTAGATGGGATTTAAACTATTCAGGGCCTCAGGAGGCTTCCTTTACTGAGACTGATTTCCTCTTTGATTTTGTAAAAAGAGAGGAAGGCAAACAGAATAATTATTCGTATTCATAAGCATTCATTATCTGTTGAGTAAATATTGATTGCATGTGATTACATAATAAAGAATGATTAAAGTAATTTTGAATCTATTCTCTGCAATGCCACTTCATAAATGATTTTTAAGTACAGATCTGTAAGTTCTATGAAATGTATCTCTGCACTTTTC